GTGGGGGGGGGGGGGGGGGGGGCATTGCCTCCTCAATAATATAGTTGGGGGGGGCACATGCCCTTTTGCCCCCTGGGTTCAGCACCTATGCCCAGAAGGCCCTTGATGTCCTGGTAGCAATGGACAGAAAGTACAATTTCACTTAACATGGTGAAGACTCCAGGGTTTCACACCTCCCTCAATGAAGATAGATCTCATGAGAATATTTGGGTGTTGCTTTCAAAACCAAGACAGGTCTCATTAAAAAAAATAAAACATCGACACCCCATGTATGCCTTGGGACTTGTATGAAATATAAGATTAAACTATGTTAAAAAGGTTCCAAAATCAGCAGCCATGTTTGTCATGATAAATTACAGCTGGTCAATTGAGTCAGAATCACTGGTAGAGAACCACGGTTGGCAGAAGCAAGAAGAGAGATGCAGGCACACTAGGCTACTTTTATTATGTAATCAATGGTGTAACTTATTTAGATTTCAGGTGTTGCCTAGTGATTAACAATTATAAAATCCATAAATGCTGTCAAGATTTTGCTCCCAAACGCATTCTTGCCAGAACAGTTCTGGATCAGTACAGCTTATCCCTGAGAATGGTGGTAGACTGATATAGCTTTTCACCCACTCTGAAGAATAGCACATATCTAGAAATGTTAAATTTCATGTATGAAATGTCATGTATTAAATTTTCATGCAGGGAGAGATGGGGAGTAAGCAACCAATGGAATGAAATGGTTAAATAGGGAGCAGACATCAATATTGATGAAGAATAGGTTTATTTTAGGGTTTCCCAAATATCTTGAAGGTTCACCTCAGGTTGCCATGGCTGAAATAGTGACTTAAAACATATATATACTGCTTTCCTAGTAAAATCCTCATATTTCTAAGGTATTTCTTTCTTTCTTTTAAACTGTTTCTCAAATGGTAATATATACATTTTTTCAATTGGCAAGGTATTATCATATATTGCTGCTGTTGCTGTTGCTGGTATTGATATTTAACCATAATTAGCTCATGCTAATTATGAAGTCTAAATGCTCATTTAACTTGAATATGTTGTTCTACAATCATGCTTGTCACAGACTAATTTAAATGTAATGCTGCCCCTGTTTAGCTCTCCGTGTAACATGATACAAAATGACATCTTAATAATTTTTTCTCATTGTAAGCATATCCCCTAGCATGAAATAGCACTCAAGTTCCTTCTCAACAGTTAAGATTAAGATTATTCATAACTTTCACAGTTTTGTTCTTGGCTATTTGAATGGGCATGGGTTATTGTTGGTATCCTGCACATCTCCAAGCAGTAGTTCATACTGGGTGCAAATAAAAAAGCGCAACACTGTTTGAATTTTTTATTATCAGGAACTTTGTCATTAGTACAGTTATATGCACCTATGTCTTGTCTTCCATGTAAAATTTTTCAGAAGTGTCCCCATCTAGTTCAGCCACAGAAGCACTTGGAAGATTGCAAGTAAGATATATTGAAATTCCTGCCTGCTGTTAGTTTTTCACTGAAAGGGGATTGCCAGTTCACATGATTGCTTTTGTGCCAACTTATTTATCATGTCAGTTAAGATCATGGTGTTGTCTATGGCCAGCAGAGTGTTGTTGAACCATGTTTTCCATTGACTTCATTCAAAGAGAATCCACTATGGAAACTGGCTCAAAGTTGTCATACAGATAATAGGATAACCCATCAAGCATCCATTTCATTGAGTATCCTTGTACTTGAAGGCATTTTCAAATATAGGATGATTCAATGAGAGACACCCCATTGATTTCTTATGGGAGGAACATAACATACTTATGACACAAAAGTACATCAGTTAAATAGAATACATGGCTTGTAACAATGTCAGCTTTAAGCTTCCACAAGCCATCAATATATCACCTAAAAAGAAATAAAATATGGATATTAAAAACATTAGTCTATTATATTCTTCCTATAAGAAATCAGTGGGGTATCTCTTGTTGGATCACCCTCTATTTCACTTGATAACATCTTAGTGCTTCTGTGGTTAAACCAACATTGGGAACATTTTGAAAAAATTTACATTAGACAAAATATAGATTTATACCTGCCAGAACATACAGAGCTGTAACTTCAACAAATTCTTAGAAACATTCCAACAGTGGTGTGTTATTTTTCTCTGCACTCAGTATGTTCTGCTACTGCTATGCTAGCTTGCAAAATGGACATTCTGGATTACCCATTTTGGCAGATAATCTCTGATTTTTGCTAATTGTCTGAGAGCTGTTTTTCCTGCTAAATTTTGGATGTGATCTTTTCAATCAAGCCCATTGTCTAACCATATGCAGGGTTCATGTTAACACGTTGGCGACAATGCATCCTGATGCCAGGATGCAGATTTTTTTTCAATGAATACCCTCTGGAACTGTTGAGAACGTTCCAGAAGATTATGATTTCGTAATCATGCGTCCTGATGGCAGGACGCATTTTTTGACAAAAAAAAATGCGCATGGTCCCATGCGGCGGACAAGCAAAAATAGGCTGGTCGTCAACGTGTTAACTTGCCATAGTGAGTCCCTGACTCATTTTCTTAGAGGGACTCATATTTGCAAAACATCTTAGTCCGTGGGACTCATTGACAACTGCTTGAACAGGTATCCACTGAGCTGAAGCTAGGTGCCAGGACTCAAGATTTAAAAAGCTAATGTGAATCCTGCATAAGTGATCAGTATTTGGTTGTGAATCTCATCTAGATTTACTCCATTGACTTTGAGCTCAAATTGGTGTAGTCTTGTGTGGATCACAGAAATAAAAAATTTTGATTTTATACAATTACAGTTCAAGAACTATCTATTTAAGGTTTTCAAGTTTATTGTATTACAGTTCAAATTGCTTTGGAAGGTGAACCATAATAGTGAATACTAATGCCTTCTGCAAAGAGATTTATTTCTCCTGCTGATTGGCAATGGTGAAAATAGCTCCAGCTGATTGGCAATGGTGAAAATAGCTCCAGTGGAAGCAGAGATATACAAGTGTGTAGTTTAAAAGTTGTTCCTTTTTTTTTTTGCTGTACCCCATTCAAGAAAAGAAACTGCAGACCCGATATGGATTCATGTGACACACTGAATTCTATTTATTTCATCAAACCAGATATGCCTTTGCATGAGACTATTTACTTTCTCCCATTTAAATAACTTTTGGACCATTTTTACACAGGGATGCATCAAAACTGATCTAATTCTTCAGCACCAGCTGATACTGATACTGTTTCTCATTCTTGCATGTGTTAGCAGAATAGTGAAAAAAATATAATGAAATTGGGCACCATGCTTGCATGGGGTTCATAAAGTCTGGCTTAGTAACTTATCCAGTCTTAAACTTTTGGGGAGATCTGAGAGGAACTTCATAGATACATGGTAAAACAGGCAAACATAATTTGATCCTTGGCTCTGATTACTATCACTTATGTATAGCTGAAAAGTTAGATAGACTGAGAGACTTGTGCCTTTGCCTCCTCTGGGAGCCATCCTGGATAGCAAGTAATAGCTCTCAAGTAATAACTCCTGGCCTACCTTGGTGAAACCAAAAACATAGACATGTTGTTTGAATGGGTGTCCTCCAATATGGATCATATCAGCTAATATCTGATACCTGCTATGGAATTTGTACATCCCCAATATTCATTACCTATAAACCCAATGTAGTATAACCCTTTCATGCATTAATTTTTAAAGCAAAACAAAAAATTATCATTTTTATTTAATGTTTACTGTGGTAATCTGCCGTAGTAGAAGTAGTGCCGTAGTTGAATGTTCCACTGTTAGAAGGCAATACTGAATAGATAATGTGTCCTTGGGTGGACTACATGCACCAATAGATTTGAGGCATGTGTACTGTGGCTGAAAAGACATCAACATAGCCAAAATAATTTCTGTCCACTACAGTGGAAAACATGCATGAAAGGGATAATTTAATTAGGAGATTTTCATTATATCAAAGTATATCAAAAACCTCTTGCAGATCCATAAAATTCCCAGTTGCTCTACTAGTTTGATTCTGATCTTCCTGTAGCTTTTCAATTACTTTCATCTGTGTGTATCTTGGTCCTCTAAAATTGCAAGTTTATTTTTCTGCAGGAAAAAGTTTCTCCAAATGCAATGCCCTAATGCTTGTGTCCTTTCTTTCAGGTAATGAGCATATTCTTGAGACCACCAGTGTCAAGTGAGATATCAGGTTAGCCCCAGCTCAGATAAAATTATGGCCTTGAGGGTTCTTGTGGGATGCAAGAGAGTGATCGACTATGCTGTGCGGGTAAGTATGGGAGTAATCTATAACTGCATCAAGTCAATGGGAGCAAGAGCCCTCTGATTTTGATTAAATTCTATGGAGAAACCAACCCATGCCAAATTAGAGAACTGTAGGTTAGGTACTTCTGAGGTGCATTGATTTGAATATTGCCAAAAAGTATTGATTCCAGTCCACTGAGTCCAGTGATAATCACTCAAGTGCCCATAAGTTTTGTCCTAATTAACTTTGAGAGGTGAAATGGGTGTCATTTTAAAACTCTTTTAATGGCCTTCCACATGTGCTTCATGGAGTTTAAATTAAACAAATGTCAAAGGTTGGGGTCTGGCATTTGACCTAGAAATCCAGAGGGTAGGTAAGTTATATATTTTTTATTCTAAAAAATGTAACATTACATCCTCAATTTGCCCTCAATTGAGACATCAATTTTAAAATATGGGACTGTGATTGAATCAAATATATCAACAATACTCCTACAGATGATTTGGTTGCACTGAAATGCCACATTTGTTTATACATCATCCACATATTTACCTATCCTCATCTCATCCCTGGATCATTATTTTGTTTACTAGCCCCCAGGGCATGTACCCCAAAGTGGGATTTTTTCTGAACTCTGCATCCCAAAAGGTACATGTGTACCAAGTTTCAGATTTCTAACCCTTCTAGAACATGGTTAGAATTAGCGTCAGTCACAATCGTCTATATATATTAGATGATTGATGACAACAGGCTTAATTGAGAAAGAAAAATGCTCCTTAGAGTAAAATATGGGTATCCCTCTCCATAGGCAGTTGTGGTCTATGGGTCATGGTTGGCTTCTGTAACTGGAGGAGTGGTTCTCAACCTTTATGATCATGAACCAGTTCAGATTTTCCAAAAATCTTGTGGACATTATGGACCAGCTGGTCTGCAGCTTCAATCATATGCCTTCTCTTCTCCCCTGCCCACTAACCTCCCTACTGCCCATCTACCCCCACAATCTAAAGTATGAACTGAAGTAATTGTCTCAGCATGACAGGTTCTGTGTGTGGGAGGTGACTATAGACTGAGGAGAAGGGACTGGTAGATTACAGTTTACTTTAAAAACATTATTCTTTGTTAAAAATGTATCTTGATTAATTGTTGCCTAACAGACCAGCAAATGCTGGACTGGCTCCAGTCTGTTGACCAACAGTTGAGAAACACTTGACAACCTCATGCCAGCCTCCTAAAGGCATAGCATAGTATATCAGGCCTGTCATGTGTCATGTGGTTTTCATGCTCCCTTGCATCTACACTGTGGGTCATACTTTGAGCTTGAGTGCTTTGGTTAAGACTAATGTGCAAAATGAATTACCTTAATTTTCCAGAGCCTTCATGGGATGTATTTTGCTTTTATGCTGAAATGTTTCCATCAGTGAGGAGTCCCTGGTTTTATGGATCTTTAAAACTTAGACTAAAAGAATTTAATTTAGCCTTTGTGTTTTTTTTTTTAGAAACCTCATATGGTATCCAATGTGTCCAGAAAAATTGCTATTTCTTTTTGCAAACATGCATGATTCTAAATTCTCCTTCATTGTTCTCAGTAGCTTCTAGAATAATAGCATGACCTGTTTGGCCATAACCCACGACTGGAAAGGCCTGATTGAGTGTGGTGTCAACTGAGGTTAATTTGAAATCTCTGTTGTGGAGTTTTTTTTTCCTATGTGAAATGAGACTTCGCAGCAAGTAATCAAGGTTTGTTACCATTGAAAAGTAACTTCCCTTTTCAATACCCTCCATACCTATCACTGACAGATAAAGCTGGCTATGGTTATTAACCCTTTGACTGCTGAGGATTTAAATGCCCAGCCAACCTCTCCCTACCAAACAAGCCAGTGGAGGTCTGTCCCTGGAACATGCCATATGGCGTGAATGGCAGTGAAAGGGTTAACTAGGCCCTGCCCTAGACCACCTTGTTGTATGATATTGATGTGTTTCAGATTCGAGTGAAGCCTGACAAGACAGGGGTTGTGACTGATGGCATTAAACATTCTATGAATCCATTTGATGAAATTGCTGTTGAAGAAGCTGTGAGGATGAAGGAGAAAAAGATTGCGAGTGAAGTCATTGCTGTGTCTTGTGGACCTATGCAGAGTCAAGTAAGTTTTTTTTGTACCAGTGCAAATACTATCAACATCCAAAGGATCAGATGCTCAGCCATGGCCATTCCTGAAATTTTGAGTGTGGTTGGTATTGCTCTGAATATTAATGTATACTGAACATTTACAGTTCAGAAATTCCATTAATTTATTGGTATATAGTCCAAAGGCACAACATGCTGTGGTTCCTATCTAGATTTAACCCTTGGACACACATGATGCACTTGCATGTGTTATGGAGAAACCATGCCACCAATACAAAACACTAACTGGTTGCTCACACTGAGTGCTCACAAGGGGAAAAGTATCATGAGAGGAAGCAAAATTAGAGGTATTTATATTTAAGTAGAGAACTTGAGCATGAACAAAAAAATTAAAAAATTCTGGTGTATGATGGGCTTGAAATTCTCCAATACCTGGTTCGTTCAGGGGTTTAAAATCAGACTAATAGAGCAGAAGCAATTAATTTTTTTATTTAACCATAAAAAACAAGTTGAAACTGTCTTAACCTTTATCAGATGAAAGGGACAGCTGTTGTCCTGCAGAATGTATTTTTCCATGGCCTGAAAGTACAAATGCTATATCACAACTTTTTGGGAAAATGCTCTGATACTAAGTAAAAAATTGTTTCACTGTCAACAGTTTATTTTTAGACCAGTTGCACTTCTCAGCTAGCAAGTGTTTATCAGCTGTGTAGAAAAAATCCCTTTTGCCAGTGCCTATGTGAGAGGTTTAAATCTGTATGATAAAGGTCAAAGTACACATGAACTTTAAGTTCTCTTAAGTAGCAGTGCCAAGTGCTTAATATCAAATCTTGAAAAGCCCACAGTCATTGTAGTGGTTCAAGTGTTGTCTTTAGAGGTGGCCCTACATAAAAGTGATTTGGGAGCACCCTGAAGGAGTAGCAATATAGAGAAGCCCCAAGTTTCTCAAAATGCTATGCACTCCATTGATAGGAATACTTACATTGTCCAGCATCCATTTTTGCAGGAGACATTGAGAACAGCCTTAGCAATGGGTGTAGATAGGGGGATTCATGTGGATGTGTCAGGGAAAGATTATGAATTGCTACAACCAATCCATGTCTCCAAGATCCTTGCCAAGATTGCTCAAGAAGAGAAATGTGACATCATTCTTCTTGGCAAGCAAGTTAGAGGATTCAGATTTCCCTCTTGAAATTAGTTTAATCCTTCTTTTCCTACCATGAGCTCTGTTTCTTTTCAGGCAATTGATGATGATTCCAATCAAACTGCACAGATGACTGCTTCATTATTGAATTGGCCTCAAGCTACATATGCGTCAAAGATAGAGAAGACGAATGGAGAGTTGCAAGTGTTACGTGAGATTGATGGAGGATTGGAGACTGTCAGAGTGAAAATCCCTGCTGTGATTAGTGCAGACCTCCGGTTGAATGAGCCTCGCTATGCTACACTGCCGAATATCATGGTTTGTGTATGATCATCCCAGTTGATTTCACAGGGCTGAATATGAGCTTACATTAAGGTGAGAGGTATTCTCTTCTACCCTGGTAGAAAGCTAAGAAGAAACCAATAAAAAAAGTAACACCTGGAGACTTGGGTGTGGAGACAGATCCAAGAATAGAAATCCTATCTGTTGAAGATCCTCCTGAAAGGCAGGCTGGAATCAAAGTCGAAGATGTTGATACACTCATTGCTAAGCTCAAGGAAGTTGGCAGGATATGACTCAGGTAAGCCATTGCAGTATTCCTTTTCAACATTGACAACTACATTTTCTCAAAGCAAACTTTATCCTCATTAGGAGGCTGGAAGAAGCCTACCTGGGAGGATATATGGTGTTCAATGGTCTCATATCAAGATTATTCTTCTATGAAAAATTTCATCCAGAGTATGCATCTCAAGCAGGAGAAGAAGAGGATGTGATTTGATTTTGGCGTGTTTGTACTCATTGATCTAGGTCTGCATTATGGTGCCTGTTTTAATAAGGTGCAATGGTAGCTTGCTTTTATTCTTGATATCCTTTAGGGAAGATATGCAGGGTGTTCATATTTAAATTTTACATAATGAATATTCATTTGTCTGCCTGTAGAGTCAGGTCTGTGTAGCAAGGCTCACCTGATTGTATGCATCCTTAAAGCTATGCAATTGTGCCATAAAGTTAAGTAGGTGTAAAATCAAGTTACAATGACATGCTCCAGAGCATTGGAATGACCTTGGACAAGCATAATAGGTAGGTGCTTGGATATTCCATGTGTTGCTTTTTAATGTGAACACCCTGTAATAAGTTCCCTTTGGCATAACATTTGTCAATCAAACAACTATTTTGCTGACATGGCATAGTCCAATCTGCATTACATAAAAATACATACTGGGAATTATGAGGCAAGCAAACATGAACAAGTAAATAACAGGAAGAACAGCTCTCTCACTCACCATGCATCAAGCAAGAATTGTTGTGAGACAGATTGAGCCAATCCATTGCAGTTAGTGGCATGGTACAGAATGACTTTAGCTGTGTTGCCCTTAGAATGAAGAGTACTTTCAATTCTACTCATGATTCCTGACATTTGGTGTTGGCCACAAAACAGGTTCAATTGGCTGTTGCTCTGAGCCAGTCATACACCTGAACCCATTGAATGGCATCAACAACATTGCCTGAAACATCAGTGACATTTCCTCTTTAATTCTCTTTTGCCTGACATTTCCCTACAGTGTGGTGACACTCATTTGCTGCTTTCTGAAGTTACTGCAAGGCTGTGGCTGATCATTGTGTTAGCTTGTTGACCTTGGATTTTGCATATATCTGCAGGGTGTTCCATAAGTCCCTTGCCCCCCCCCCCTCCTTTTTTTTTTCTTGTAGAATAGTGGCAGCAAATAAAACATGCCATTTGAAACTATATTCATTTTGACATTTAATAAACTTCACTCAAGGCACTGGGGATCAGTATGAATGCTATAATTTTCTGAAAGTCATCAACAAATTTGTCATTTTCCCCCCTCTTTCTTGGCACTCATGTACTCGCACACTCATCACTAAACACTCATCTAGCATAAAATGGCTTTGGTCACCCATGCCTACACAAATCCTAACGCTAATTCACCTGGAAAACGAAAAAGGGGGGGATCAAGGGACTTATGAAACACCCTGTATATACAGGGTGTAATAAAAGTCAGGAATCATGGGACTGCAGCAAAGGGATAATATCCTGTCTAGACTGTCAGGAACTCACCTGGCAACCTCAATTGATACTCTAATATCAAAGCTATCTCAATCACAAAAATGGGTCCAAGTGACTCAAGTAGACCTATTGACCAAACCTGAGCCTAACTATCCTAATGTGACCTATGCTTACCAAAATTTGATCAGAGAGTCCCTCCTACTCAAAACAGGTTTCCTAATATGCCTCAATTTTATAAAACATTCATAGGAAAAAAAGAAACTAATCAGAAGATAGGCAACGTTAGGTAATTGTGAGGAGCATTGCCAGTACGTGCACATAGGGAAAAACCTTACTCAACCTGGTGGTTTTGTAGGCATTTCACATCATGGAATATACAGAGTATGGGGAAAAAATAGACCAACGGGTTTTAGCCTTTATATCTCTGCCCTCAGTGGAGTTATTCACGAAACTTGTACTGTGCATAAATGTTCCTAATTGACTAGAAATTTCATACAAATCGATATCGCCAAAGCAAGGCCATGAGCAGTTCTTCAAAATTAATCGAAAATGGACAGGGGACTCGAATCCTTTCTGAATGTCTCATCCTCCCGCCTGGTTTACCGATGAAGACCAAAGGAAAATCTAAATAAAATTTGAGTAAACTCTGTTTGATACTTATTGATTCACCTGTCGTTGGTCGGAATAAAGCTTATCAAAATTATCTGCAAGACCAGTTTTAAAAAATGAAATTGAATGGGAGAGAACTTGGACGTGTCCTCCGCTCCACTACCAGCGTGAGCTTGTTTCCATTTTCATTATCTAACTTCTTTTTAGTCATTGGTCATAGCCTCGCCTTGGAGCAACGAATTTTGAAGATATGTCAGAAACATGTCCATTTATGTGGGTTATCGAAAAGTCCTAAGTATTGTTCATAACTAATTTATTTCTCAACATAATCTCATATTTTCAGGAAATGGTTTTAAGAATGTTACCTTCTAAACGCAGTCACCAAAGAGCTCCATGCATTTCTTACACCGTGGCACCAGATCGTGGAATCCAGGATGTCATCCTTTGACGAAGTGCAGGAGCGATGCTTTGTAGGCATTGTTGAAGGAGTCATCGTCCTCAAACCGTAGCCAACGCAAGCTCTCCTTAACCTTACGGGGGGGGTGGAAGCTGGCGGGCGAGCACATCCCGGTCACAGTCTGCATGTCCTCTGGGACGAGGCCCGCCTTGAACGCGATGCACGTCACGATCTTCGACACGCACGGTATTGTGGGCGCGGCCGCCGAATGGGATTACGTGTTCTCCGTGTACGTAAAAGGGCCCTATTATATATGTACTGACTCCAATTAGATGAGTACCGGTGAGATTCGGAAGGACTAGGCTGGTCAGCAACAATAACAATGGATATATTGGATGTATACCACTCACTCGTATAGTCTACAGGCACCAGGCAGGAGGGAAGTTGATACGGCAAGGGCGACGGGAATAATTTACAGGTCCCTATACAATCCAGACATACAATACACACCGTTGTACAATGTCACCCGATCACATCCACACAGTCACTGTCCACTCTCCAGTCTCGCCTCCACCCCCTCGTCCCGGTCCGTGGGAGGTCTCTTGGAGGTGGGAGGTGTCCGGTAGGGGGTGGCTCCTCCTCCACTCCTCGGTGAGGTCCGCCGCTAAGCCCACAGTATCATCCGCAGTACCTCAAAATCAAACAGACGACGGAAACTACTATCTACACATCCTCTGCAATTTTATCTGGCCAGCCGTATTCAATAAACGCCGCCATCTGCTGGGAACAGTCGTTATTCTGTTTCAAGATTCAAGATAGTGATATCAAGAGGTGATTTCACCCATTTCGATATCACGAAATGGGTGAAATCGGTGAAATGGGAGGGTAGGCCTAACCCTCTTAAAGCTAAATATTTTTGTATTTTTTTATTTTTGGCGTATCCTAGTTGCTTACTGTCTAGTACCTAGCGTCAATATTGCCCCCCACCTTTTTGCCTATCCACGAAAGCATCCAGTTTCTTCTTAAAGATAGTCACAGAAGGGGCAGCCACCACTTCGCCCGAATCTAACGCATTCCACGCGTTCACCACTCTGCAAGTAAAGACCTGAGCCGCACCTGCTGTTTGCGCAACTAAGTTGGTTACCTCTCGTTCTCTTGCTGCCATCAAATTGGATAAACCTACCACACTCGACATTATCTATTCCTTTAATTATCTTGAAGGCCTGGATGAGATCGTCCCTCCTTAACCTCTCGAGCAAGTACAGTCCCAATACTTCTAAACGCTTCTCGTATGAAAGTCCCCTGACCTTAATCATTCTTGTGACCCTCCTCTGTACTCCCTCGAGCACCAACAAATCGCCCTTATTTGTAGGCCTCCAAAACTGGATACAATATTCCAACTGGGGTCTTATCAGCGTCGCATATAGCGGAAGAATAACGCGCGAAGTCCTGCTTGCCACCGAACGACGAATGTAACCTAGAATCCTGTTGCATTTAGCCACCGTCGCTTGCGCGTGCGAGGAAAACTTGAGGTCCTCGTCGATGGAAACTCCAAAATCTCTCTCTCCGTTTGCCTCATCCAGTTTAACATCGCCGAAC